CTTAAAATCACTTAACTCTTCATAACCCATAAAACACAAGAATCAACATCCCCTTTCATCAACTCAAGATGAACTTGAATAACCAACAATATTATCATGCAATATTGGTACCCAAAAGATAGCGTTTTTCGCATATAACAATTTTTTATTTTCAACATACTCAAAATCCTAAGAAAATTACTTGAAATTTGAGTTGAAGTTTTCTCTTACCTTTGAAGAAGCCCACGTCTAGTTGGAGAAGAAGATGAACAAATTTGAATGAAATGTGGGAAACATCTCATCTTAATTTACATTTCATCCCACTTTAAATGAATATAATATTCATTTAGTTGAGATAAGACCAAATCACCCTTAATGAATCTTTTTATTTACCATAAAACCATGACAACTCATCCTTATCATATTTCAAAGTCAAATCTGAATTATTTTAACTTTTATTTCTGAAATTTCCCTTGAATTTTCAAAAATTGTGTTTTAGTCACTAAATCCGCTGTTTCGGTTAAATCTGAAAAATTGCACATTTTCAAACCAAATTTATCTGATCCAAAATATTAAAATAATATTTCCAGCCATTTTATAACATCCTTCAAAGTTTTGTAAAATTCCAATTCGATCTGAATTACCGATTCCTTATCGGACTTTAACCCTTTCTAATTTTTTCTTTACTAAAATTTCCAAATCCATAAATATGATTTCTATACAACTCCACTCTCAAGAGTAAACTATCTATTTATGGAATAAAATTCTTTTTAGGAAATTATCACTTAATTCCCTAAACTTTTTCCCAATTTTCTACTTTGACCATCAAACTTTCCAAATTTTCATTTTGGTCATCGTCTAAATTTTTGGGGTATTACATGTGTATTTTTCTCTTTTCTCATTGTTTACATGCATATTTATAGTCTTAGAAAATCTATTTTTAGTTTGGTTTCTAGAGTTCCTCTTGGACTGAAATACTTGTTTCCTTGTTTGTTGGTGAGTCCCATGATATCACGTCGATGGGAAACTTGGAGGTGGCTTTGTTGCCATTGGTTTGACCCGCTCCTTGCGTGTTTGGCTGCTGAGGGATATGCGGCGCTAAGGAAAGAAGGGGCAAGAGTTAGGATTTGCAAACCCTAACTGTTTTGGGTGAAAGGTCAGTTCGGGTCGGGCTTCAGTGGACCTGGGTCTCAGGTCGGGTTCCAAATCCGGGTTGCTATTGTTGGATCACTGTTGGGTTTAATGGGTCAACATCTTTGTAATGGGTTTCGAGCCTGACACAATACCAAACATTGTTAATAAATAACATAAATAAAAAAAATATATAATACTGAATAATATACACATATAAATATGAATACAATGTATGTATATGCACACTATGTAAGTAACATCTTAAATATGCAATACGCATACACCATATAATATATGTGTATCATATACTATAAATATGTAACATAATAAATATGAATAAGGTAATATCGGATAAATATGAGTCGCTACATGGATAGACACCAATCAAATTTCAGGGGCGCACTATCAGAAAATGAACAATAAACATAAAAAATTAGATTTTAAGATGAACACGTGACCATCCTGAAATATACATGAATCCGTAGCCGGAAGGAAATGCAAGAGTTGGGAAGAAGAGGTCCAATTCTTTATTATAGTGATGAAATTTAGCCATTAGAGATTCAAAGAATTTAGAAAAGAAAAACCACAGATGGACATAGGAACGTATGCTAAAGGTATATTTCTAAAATTTTAAAAAGAAATTTATAAAATTGTATAAGAGTTGAAAATAAATTATCAATTAAAAGTATAAATAAAATACCAAAAATATATATTAATTTTAAATTTTAGGTATACCCCTTACTGAAACTGATTGTTCATTACTTGATTCATGAACGGCAAAAGAAAAGGGTAAATTGCGTGTTTAATACTTAAATTATGAGTTTTGGTATGTTTTAGTTCTTAAACTTTCTATTTTCCCAAAATTATGCCTAACTTTTAGTTTTTGTTTCATTGTAGTACCTAGCTGTTAAAAATTTAGCAGAATTGTTACAACTTGACACTTTTTTGTGGGTATATTATATCATTCATCACTCAACTATCTTCTCACTTCTATTTTGGTCATTGAAGTTTATTTTTTTATTTAATTACTTAACTTTCAAATTACTCTTAATTTAATCACTCTAACTTTAAAATTTATTTTTTTATTTTAATTATATATTAATAAAATAATAAAAAAATAGCATGTAACAAAATATTATTAGTAAAATAAATTAGGGTGATTAAAACGTGAGCAATTTAAAAGTTGAGCAGTTAAATTGAAAATTTTAAACTTTAATGATCAAAATAGGAGTGAGAAAATAGTTAAGTGATGAATGATGTAGTTTACCCATAAACAAGTGTCACGTGCAAAAATACCATTAAATTTTTAACGGATGGATACTAAAATGAAATAAAAACTAAATGTCAAGTATTCTTTTGAAAAAGTTGAAAGTTTTAAGAACTAAAACAAACCAAACTAATGGTTAGGTACTAAATGCATAATTTCCCCCCAAAAATGTCATTTGCAATCGTCTTTCTCGGTAATCTATCTATAGGCCCAAATAGAATCATTTGCTTCTAAATTTCGTTTAAAACCTTCCAAGACGGCTTTCACGTTCTGTAGTTCCAACACTTGAAAAGGTAAGACTAAAGATAAATTATCCCTAATTGTACCTTCTGCGTTTTTGAACTGCAATCGATGTAATAAAGGTGCTCCAATTAGGAAACTTGGGACAAAATTGCAGTTGAAGAAGTGGATTGCTTTCATCATATCACAAAGTGTTTAATCAGTCTCACTGAACATTTTAATCTTGATTATGTCAATATATCTTATTTTATAAGAAGTATTATTTCCCCATAAACATATCACTTATAGACATAATTTTATACGTCACAAATAGATCCTGATTAGAACACATGAAAGATGTTACTAGAATCTAGAATCCACCCATTAATTGATATAGAGTAATCACCAAAAGCAACTAGAAGCTTATTGTCATCGACGTCATTGTTTTCTGCTACGTCAACTTTACCAATTTTTTTCTATTTGTTTTTCCTTGTGATTTGCAATATCCTTTTAGTTTCTATTATACAACTTATAGCACTCGATCTTAATGTATCTTTTTTTTGCTACAATCATATGTTTTTCATGGGTTCTTTCATTTTGACTTGGTTTTGGTGTCACTAATAAAAAAAATCCTTGAATCTTTCCACGAATAACGAGTCATTCTCCTTATATTATATCTTATCATAAGAGACTAAGGCATCATAAACTTAATTAACTATGAGATATTCACAACTATACAAAATTGTATGTCGAAATGACGAATAAAAAGGAGGCAACAAACAAAGTAAAATTAACCATGAATCTTCTATATCATACTTGAATTTCATGGTCTCTAAATCTGAGATAATTTCTTTAAAGGTAGTTAAGTAATCTACTAACGACATACCTTTATCCCAACGATGAGAGTAAAGATGTTGTTTCAATTGCAATATGCAAGATACAAGTTTTGACATAAATAGTTGCTCCAAGTCCAACCATAACACAACTGTGATATTCTTCTTTAATGTAGAATTTCATTTGAAAGGTGTAGATGCAATTACGATAAGATCTTTTGACCTGGACATTCTTTTCCTCAAACGTCAATGGTGAAGGTATTTTATCTATCCCTAATAAAGCATATTCTGAATTCATTTGCATAAGAATTGTTTGCATCTTCACCTGTCATAATGTGAATCTGGTGTCGTGATCTAATAATAAAATTTCGTACTTCAAAGATATCATTATTGTGATCAAATCTATCTCAGATATGTTCTGATACTAGCTTGTTATATACCTAGATAAAGACAAGTAGAAAATATCATAGATAAAGACAAGTAGAAAATATCACACAATAACAAAATCAATATTTTTGCAAGCATCACAAGATGCAAGTATCATATATAATATTCATAAACTATACACACAAACGTATCAATAGCAATGAAACACTTGGTGTCACCTAACAATCAGATAATATCAACAATAATAAATGGTAATGACACCTGGTGTCATTAAGAAATCATGTTATAAAATTGAGCAATACCTGATTACACATACATAAATGTTCATAGGTCACACATATCAACAATTGTCTTATAAAGTCAATCAATGTAGTATAACTGTCCAATCAAATACATTATTCATACACTAGGCATAAGACTTTTCTCACATGTCTAAAATTTAAGGATCAAGTTTAAGACTAAATAATTTTACTAACATATCACGTCAATAATGTAATAAAAGTTAATAATTTAGTGTCTAAAATTTATTGAATTGACATTATAATTAAGGGTGAAGTACACAAATTATCCCCTGAGTATAGGATATTGTTTTATTGAGTTCTTTGACTATTGAAAATTATAAAATGATCTATCGACTATAGGAAGTTTCTTTGTTGAGCCTTTTGACTATTAAAGGTTACAAAATGGTCACCCGCTATTCATTATGTTACAAACGTGTCCTTTCCCGTTAAAAAATTAATGATAATTTGATCTGGACGTTAACTTACTAACTGAGATATGATGAAATTTGATATTATAATCTCAAACAACTATCATATCTCAGTCAGCATGTTAATGTCCGTCCCTGAAGATCGTTAGTTTTTTTAACAAAAAAAATGAGTTTGGAACATAATGAATAGTCGAATAACCATATTGTAACTTTTAATAGTCGAAGGACTCAACAAAACAACTTCATATAATTAGAGGATCATTTTGTAACTTGTAATAGTAGATAAATGAAAAAACAATATCCTATAAATGTGATCATTTATGTACTTTACTCTATAATTAATCACAAGTTAAAAAAATTCCTTCAAATTCAATGATTAAAACTGAACAAAATTGAAATAAAGGCAAACAAACTTGTAGTTTACCCAATTTAAAATAGTACATAAAAAAGAAGAGGGTTCGGCGTTCTGAGGTTGCTTTCACCTGGAACGATCTTGAATCCTCATCGAAGCCTCCTTACTGCTTCCGTTCATTTCATTTTCTGCATATAAAATAAGAAGGAAATTTCTTTTCTTTGTAAAAAGAAGCTTCTAGAAGGGGGAAGCGCAGAGATCATCGGTTTACGCTTTACGGTGAACAGAAGGGAAGAAAGAGGAAATGGTGTTGGGTTCGGCATTGAGCGCAGCAGCCAAACAAGCTGAGCAATTGAGGAAAGATGGCAACATTTATTTTAAGAAAGATCGTTTTGGGGCTGCAATCGATGCTTATACTGAGGTTAAAACCTTTTCCTCCTTTTATTTATCATATGATTTTCTTAAATTTCTGCTGTTGTTTTTCTAAATGATGTATTTTTCTGGGTTTAAAGGCCATTACTTTATGCCCTAATGTTCCTGTATATTGGACGAATCGCGCTCTTTGCCATCGCAAGAGGAAGTATGTATTCAATCCTTTTATAAGTAATTTTATAAAAGGTTTTTGAATGTTTCTCTTTTCTTGGTTTCATTTGGGTATTGGTATCACGCAGTGATTGGTCGAAGGTGGAAGAGGATTGCCGGCGAGCTATTCAGCTAGACCACAGTTCCGTTAAGGTAATCTCCTTTCATTTCTTGTTACCTTTGGCGATTCTTAGAATATGATGCGCGTCTAATGATCATGAAATTTCTCGCACCCATGACCCATCCATTTCTTGAAATTTGACTTCTTCTTTGTTGCCTTGGGGCCGTTGTTCTTTTTTGTCGGATGTAATTGTAATTCATGTTTTAGTGGAACAATAAGCATGTCTCAGGCGAGTTTTAAGGTGATTTAAGCTTCATGTCAGCCTGACATTGAGTTATACTTCATTCTCTAACTATTTTGGAAGGATTTAAGGAAATGACTCAAGTTTAATTATTAATAGACTTTTAAGGATTTTGTAAGGATTTACTCTTGTGATAATCATGTGTCTTTGGTTGTTTAACTTAATTTCCAATGCAGAATCTAAATGGCGATATAGTTCTAGCATTTTTCTTCCTTTTCAAGGTGACAGTGAAATTTGATTTTGCAATGTGGGGCATTATCCATTTCTTCAGCTGATTTAGGTCCTGCTCATTAGTAGAATCATAGTTATGTTCATTTTCATTTTATTACGTAAATGTTTCACATGTAACCTCCTTTTGTTCAAACTTGCTAAACTTTTTGCTGCAGGTTTAACTTTGTAGAATCATAATTATGTTCATTTTCATGTGTTCCTCGCTTGGTAACATAAAACTGTGGTTTTGCGTAGTTTATGCTTTATGTGTAGTTGTGTACCTTATCTTTTACTATTGCTACTCTCTGGGTACACTTACATTTGGTTACTTGATAGGCACACTACATGTTGGGGCTCGCCTTGCTTAAGAAGAAAGAATTAGATGAAGGGGTCAAGGAACTACAAAAGGTATGGATACCATGATGAATCTCTGTTTATTTTGAATCAGGAATGATATGCATGAAACCCTTTAATTTGTTACAGTTGCATTCTGGACGCTTTTGGTATAGTTTATCATATAGACTTGGATCCTTGACAAAAAGATTTGAGATTTTGTCGGGTAAGGGGGGGTGTTGATTGGCAAGAATAATATAACTAAAAATACATTTTGATTTGGGATGCATCTGAGAGTTTTTCTTTTTTGTTCCACCCTTTCTTGCTAGTAACAAGCCCAGAGCATTGAAGACAAAAATATCATATCACGAGAAAGACTATTTGTCAGAGTTATATTTTGCTCAGGAAACATTGTCTTGCAAGATATTTTGCAGATTCTTTTTTAGTTTTTGCATTTGTCAAGCTTGGTCTTAGCTCATGGAGTTTAGAGGTTAAGTGGATGAATTTGAGGTCTACTATGTTAACAATAGTTGGCATTATGTTACGAGTGTGGAAAATAGTTCTAGTATTAGTGCATATTTTGCTTTCAACGTGGTCAGTTTTGTGAATAGTATAATGACCAGGTCTTATGAACCTTAATTGAGTGTAACATTTGCTTATGCCAGCACCATATTAACTTCAAAAGCTAATTATCTTGTGTAGGCATTGGATCTTGGAAGGGGTGCAAATCCAAAGGGTTATATGGTAGATGAGATTTGGCAAGAGCTTGCAAAAGCAAAGTACTTGCTATGGGAGGATGCATCTTCCAAGCGTTCATGGGAATTGCAAAGTTTGAAGTATGTGATCCCTGTGAGTTTAGACGTTTGATTTGAGGGGAATGATTACTTCTGTTCAAGTTTCCGATGGAGAATTGTTCGTAATTTTTTTTTTTTTTTTTTGCTTCATGCTATTATTTCCTATGTTTTGCAGGGAGGCTTGTGAAACTGCTCTTAGAGAAAAATATTTCCTTGATGATCAACCAGAAGATTTTTTAGACGAGGGTAGTATTGCTCATATGAAACAACTGGAGGCTCTGAGACAAGTGTTTAGGAAAGCTGGTGAAGCTGACGTCCCTGCTGTGGTAAGAATGTGGTTTTCTTATTACTCTATGTATATTGTTTATGTTTTTGGTTATACATGCTATTTTTGTATTCCTTCGGAGATATGATGGAAAATTTCAGGTGCCGGATTACTTGTGTTGTAAAATAACACTTGATATTTTCCGTGATCCTGTTATTACTCCTAGTGGAGTTACGTATGAGAGAGCAGTGATCCTTGAGCATCTTCAGAAGGTGACTTGCTTTGGAATTATGGGCAGTTGTTTAAAACATCTTTTATCATTCTTTTCACGCTAGAGTTGATCATTTTCTTGATGGATATCAGGTTGGTAAATTTGATCCAATCACACGTGAACCACTCGATCAATCCCAGCTTTTTCCGAACTTGGCAATAAAGGAAGCGGTCCAAGCATATCTAGATAAGCACGGTTGGGCTTACAAAATGGACTAAATGGCGAAATATTGATGTAGCTTTGCTGGACATGCCAATTATTTACCAGCACAGTGAAATATTCGGAAGTAATTGGTCAGTCAGCAATTCTGCATATCTATGTTTGGTTTAAGCAATACCATGGCATGTGATCCTTTGAAATTGCACAGTTATTGTCATAACCTTGTACATATTTATCCAAACCAATTGAACTAGAAAGAAATATTATACTTTTTACATAAATGGTTATAAAACTTGATTTCTTCATAGTTTATAATTGATTATTGAAACCGGCAGCAACTTTAGTATAGACATATTTATAAACACAATGAGTTTGTGCGACTTCGTATCTGTTTTATCAATTGATGGATGTAGGAAGAAGGTACAGTTTCTCCATATCAAATTAGTACTTCCTTATTCTATGTTGTGCAACTATAGGATCAAGTGTAATTATATTTAAGTAAATACGTCCATATATATAATATTATATGAATTTTGAACAAATTTTTTTATCGTGTTTACTTTTTAATTATACTCAATTAAATATTCAAACATAATTACGTCACACTCACATGTCGTATGATATTATCATGATTGGATTTATTAAAATTGGAGTGCAGTAGGAGGTTGTAGTGGCAGTCTGTGAATGCGATGAGGTAGACATTCTACCAACTCTGTTCAATGCCGAAAGAAAAGTAATATACGAATTTTAGACATCAGAAGGCTTCAGAGATATTGAAATGGCAATGCTTAATATTAATGCATATTGGTACTTAATACTATTTATTTAGACCAATTGCCCTATCCAGCATAGAAGGTGCTTAAATTGTCCATCTACCAGTTTCACATACTTTCATTATCTTACACCTATTAGTAAATATGAATATGTAAACATTAACAGCAATGACCAACTGACAGTGTCAAATATTGGAGGGTTTCTAAAAGAAGCAAGCTTTCCATTGCATAGTGCAGTAATTATACCTTTCAAATAGAGCAACTAGAACACCACAATTCCACTATAAAATGGGGTCGAAATGAAACAAGGTTTCCCAAGAGATAAGAGGTAGTAGAGCGAGTAATATGAAGATGAAAATGGCAACAATATTCCTTGTATTTCTCATGGCCATTATCCTGAGTGAAGGAGCAAGGGATACGCCGGTGAAAGACCAGGTTTACAGCCCCCAAGGTCTCCTTGGTCCATGGGGCCTTCCTTTATTTGGCTTGCCACTTCCCTTCCTTAGGCCACCATGGCTTGGACTTGGAGGATGCTGTGGAGGTCTGTTTCCATTCCTTGGAACACCTCTGAATAAAGTCACTAAAGCTGATGCCCATGGTAATAGGAATGTTATTGACTCATCGCCATGACCCACCGGTGTGAGTTCATAGTCACCACAGTGTTCACAGCTACCAGTTACACCATTGCCGTTAATAAAGAGTGCCGTATGATCCGGGACTTGATGCCTTAAGGATTAATGTAATCGTACCACGTAGTTTGAGTAGGAGCTATGTTTTGTACCTTTAGTACTTGAATCAATGGAAAGTCCACAAGCTTCTAGTGTTCTTTCCTTGATATCGTCTGTCAACAAATAATTAAGAAAGAACTCTAAATATGTGAGATTTCAAACAAACAGCCCCAACGACCACGACAACTCATGTTCAACCAAAGAAAAAGCTATTATGGTTGTCATGGGGTCATTTGAGTTCAACATAGGGAACTTAGGCTACTACCTTTCAAGCTTGCCTAATGCAATTAACCATTTCCAGCAAAACAGGCCGACAACTGTGACTGATCAGTTCATGAACCTTGGCATGAGGTGCAATATAAGGGACATTCATTGATTTTGCTTTCTATTACTGTACATAAATAAGTTGTTTGTCTAGGTTTAATTCAAGTAACAATGAAGTTGAGGTGAACAAATTATCAACAGGCAGATTTGTCTGCTATAACATGAGTTTAAAGCTGCACATCTTGGAAATTCTGAAGTTAAAAAAATAGCTCCGTTGACGTGCCAACTGCATTGTTTCTCTATTTTCAATGGCAGTTTGTATTATCCCTGAAATAAACAGTAATCATAATCAGGACGTAATTTGAAAGAATGAATAATATCATTAAAAAAAACTGCCACAGATTTGAAATTTAGCGTAACAGATATAAAATATTCACTTTGACAGCATTTGAATTGATTTTCTTTCTGTAATAGATATTATTAAACCAAAGAGACACACATGCACATAGAACAGCAGATTTACGTCACTAATTGGATATGAAGCTCACATTCAGCTGGCTGATGGAAGGAAGACCCTAATTAGTTCCTTCACAGTCACTTTTTTCCTGCATGTCGGGCATTTTCCCCGTTCTGCTATTGCAGCTTTGATGCACGCCTTGCAGAAAATGTGCCCACATCTTGTTGACATCTCCTCTTTTAATGAACCCATGCAAATCGGACAGTTGAAGGTTGGTTCCTTGGGAGAAGGCTGCGGCCTTATAATTTCTTCTGCCTGCCAATTATTTAATTAGTAAGTCTTAAGCATTCATAAATTCAATAAAGATCCTGAGGGTCAACTGTGTGAGAGCATGTGAATGGAAAGAAATAGATGTCCATTCACAATGTCTTAGATCTGATTGCCAGCCAAATATGTACATTCTGCATTCGAAAATATCTACCTGTCATCTTTCGAAAGCACCAAGAAATGAGTTCTTACCATAGACCGCGGTGAACTCTCCAAATTGATATAATGATCGCAATTGATAGCTGTTGAGCTTGAAAGAAATTCCCTGCATCTGTTCTGGCTATTATTAGTTGACCGAGCAGGCCACCCTGGAAGAAGGAGATGTGAGATACGACAACTTCAAATACCTAGTAACTACGGTTCAGCATTTCAACTAGAAAAGAATAAATGAAGTAAATAAAGAACCACCACACTCCAAGTTGATTGACCTACCCAGTCACACAAGAAATATAAGATTGAAAAAGACCAGTTCACCACAAAATAACATTTACCTCACTTGAAGTAAAGATTTGTTTTACTCTAGTACTTGAGCCATCAATAAACAGTAAAACCCACTTCACAAGCTGCAAGTTCCAAATAAGGGCAAACAAGTAGCTTCAAAAACCAGAGAAATGTGTGTATATACTACAATCCCCTCAACAAACTAATAGACTACAATGTTATCAAATATTAATATAATATTACAGTCTACCATTCAGTGCCCATTTATTCTAAATGTAAAAGCAACTGCACACAAAATGATGTTCTATAAACTCAAGGACATATAAATCAAAGTAAGATTACCTCCGGTTTTATATCTGTTTTAGTGCAATCATCAAAAGTACCTTAAGAAATATTTTATTCATAGGCTTCTTCTAATGAATTATGATGCACATAATGTCACCTAGATCTCCGCTTGGATTAAACTGTGTTCTGTTAACTGATTGTGATTGTGACTGTAATGCTTCTAATTGCCATTTCACAAAAGTCACCCGAAGAGAAAACATCCAGGTTCCTTTCATTTCTTTGTTAATCTTTTTTTTTTCATTTGGTAATTTTATCACAAACAAAAATAAATAAATAAATAAAGAGAACTAAGTCCCTTATGATTCAACAAGGGAGGGTAGGCTTAATTTTTTCTAAAGACCCATAACTCATAAAAATAATAAAACATCAAGACAGGAATCAAAATCTGCAGGACATATACCTCAGATTTTAACATTAATCAGGGCGTCAATATGAAAAGGAATCTTTAGACTTCATGCAGATAAATAGAGCAAGGTAGTTCATTCAGATTATAGCTTCTTTTATGCAACATGCTTCGACAATTCAGGCAGCACATTATGAAAAGGAAAACATTATTTGCATCCACCCCTCCTAATTTAACTACCTGAATCTACATCGACGACTGTCCTCCCACGGCTTCTCCTTGAATTGTTTTTAGCCTAGCATAAAACCCCAAGGAAGTTAATAATAGTCATCATGATGCAATTGAATCCATAAAGACAGATTTCATGTATAGTTTATGTAAAAACAAAATATTATTAAGAGAAGCTTACCTCAGCGAATGCTATAGCAGAAGATTCGATTACATCATCATCAATAGTTGCAGGTTGCGCAGGGTGATCAGTCAGTTCCTCGGATCCAGCCTGCTGGGAAGTACCCTCCTGTTCCCTGATTTCACTGGGAGGAGCATTTAGATCCAGCACTGCCTTCCTTTGTCGATACCTTCTAAGAGAAGGGCCCCTTGCTTCTACAGTGCTCATGTTCAACCTATGATTTTATCTATGCAGTATCCAAACATGCAACCTTAATATAACCTAAACTGAAAAAGAAAAAACACACCTTCATGAGTTGTGTTCACCATAAATTTCAACATCAAATTGTCACTGCAAGCAATAAATTCTTTCACTTGACTTAAGTACCAAATAGCACTTGCCAAGGAACTCACTAATCACTAAGTTCAATCTCAACAATAACACCAAATGATAAACTCGTGAATCAGAACTCAAAAAGGTTTAAGAACACACATCAAACAATCAGACAAATGTAGCCAAAAAATCCCAAATTTTCAGCAGATGAACATCAATTAGAACACTAATACAATGATTAAAAAGAACGGGACAAGAAAAAAGAAAGAAATTGACAAGAGAGTTTATGAGAGTTAAAAACCGCACATTGAAATCATGCCCAAATCGAGAGGCCTTTTAGAATTCCATTTTTTCCCAAAAAAAAAATAAGAAAAGGGCAATCCAAAGAAAGAAGCGAGCAAAGGTAAGAAACCTCTTGAAAATCTTCTGTATCTAGGGTTCATAAATAGAACAAAGATTTTCAGAGTGCGAGAAAATGGAAAGAAATTGCGAGGCACAAATCCAGAAATCGTTTGCTCCCACGTGGCACGATTTCTTTAATGACTACGTGTGTTAAGTGTTTAAGCACAATGTCGATTTCTTTAAAAATTTGTTTTATGAATTCATCAATTAGACTCTTTGGATATATTATTATTCTCTCATTATAAGTTTAACTCTATTTATAGTGATATATGTATTATCTTTTTAAGTATAAATATTATTTATTCAAAAATATCTTTTAATTATTTATTATTGAACACTCACACTCTTAACATTCATGATATTCAAACTTGAAACAACAATGAATAACAATAATTTTTTTGCTATCGAAATACTTACTTCATGTGAATCAACGATTTTTTTTAAATATTATAAGTGGTTAATAGATCATTTTCACATAGTTTAGTGATATTCTATATCATTTTCAATTTTAAGGGAGATATAAAAGCTAATGAGACTTGGAGATTACAATTTTATCTTCCTCTTTGGGGAAAAAAATAAAAGCAAAACTATTCCCTTGTATCATCATAACCATTGCAGCAGTTATATGTAAAGAAGATGGCTTTGCATCACACACGATTTGAACACAAAATCATCCTTTACAATTGATCTGGGTTTTTAACATGCATCTAAAACAATTCACTTAATTAACATAAGATTAGCTAAAAGTTTCTAACAGAAGCCCTTACATGCAATCTAAGGTTACTCCATCCTTTGATTCAATAACAAGCTCATGAAGCCATGTTTTTGTCAATGAAGCCAAATCACATCCCTGCTAATCTAGTAGTGATGTCCAGACCAGCAACAACCCATTTGCTACTCTGAATGTCAGCCTCTTGATTCCAATGCCAGAATTATCTTCTTCCTTGGGCCCTGCAAGTATACCATAAAAAACTTGCTGAAAAGGATGTGCAATGAAGGGAAGGGAAGAGGAAACAAGTAGGAGAATGGGAAAATAGAATACTTCCTATACATGCATACAACAAAAAAAGGGAGAGAGAAAACATGGGTTGCATAGTCAAAGAAATGTTTTAAACCTCATAAATCTATGGCACATGCATTACTTGTACTATAGTTGATTTTCATAAGTTTACCGGGGCATGCCTTAACTTTTTTCAAAAGAAGCAAACATTTCGAGCATCTCAAATTGGAAAACTGGAGAAAACAAGAGGTAAAGTAACACAATTATTTCATGGTTCAGAACTCATAATATACGATTCATCCCTGTTTAAATCCCTCATCAACCGAGACAAACATTCAGTACAGCTTAGTTGTATGGAAAATTGAACATATAAAACTTGTGGATTCACGTGTTGAAGGTTCACTTGAAGTTACCATTGGTATGCCTAATGCTTTCAGATCATCATCAGTCATGTGTACAAAATAAAGCATAAAACAACATACTTCCTCAACTTGAAAAAATGCTTTCAGATCATCATCAGTCATGTGTACAAGAGCTGTCATATCAACCTGCAGAAGGAGGCCTTTAATTCAAGCAATGATTTAAAATATGAAAAGGGGCGAGTGATACACAATACAAAATAAAGCATAAAACAACATACTTCCTCAACTTGAAAAGTAATCGCATATTTCTCAAGACCCAAAGACTGGAGGAAGCCCTCCATTGATGCATCAACCTGCAGAAGAAATTACACAGCTTAGACACTAAAATATAGCTAAAATGGCTCTTAAGTTGCAGCTTAAACAACTAACATATGAAGGTCAATGTAGTGCATTTCATCATTAAATTGCAAACCGATGTAAATGAGCCCTAGAAATATGTATACCATACAGGGCAAGTTCTTGATCCCCAGTTCCCCATCCACCTCTGACAGGAGGAAAACAAGGGAGACAAAACAAAGCTTTGCAACAAATTTATCATGCTCATCAGTTAAAAAAATTATAAACATAAAACACTATAAAAAATGGATTGTCAAGGTATAACAATATCGTGTATCATATCATCCTCTACAGCAACTAAAAGGTAGCCATTCCTTCGCCTTATGGCAAATTCATGGCAGGACCCTCTATTATAGAGGCTGGTTCAAATTAGTGCCGCTACTATTCAATGGATCAATTGACTCCCAATACTAGTAAAAAGAATCAAGTAAGGCCAAATTTTTACAGAGTGACAATTTACTGCATAAAAAATGTCAACCATTGTTTAACAGAGTTGATATTTTTAAAGCTTTTATGGTTCTACAAATAAAACCCTTTGTTTGGAGTTGAACTGCAAATGGAAAAAATAATTTTCATGTCCTTTTTAAACAATAAATGTTAACTATGTTAAAATTCAACCTTCTTTGATTCTTTTTACTAATACAAGGACTAAATTGGTCCATTTAACAACAGAGAGACTAACTTGAACCAATCCCTATAATAGAGGGACCGGACAGGAAGGGGAGGGGTAGGGTGGCGATGTCCTTAAGAGCCAAAAGATGTTAAGAGATGATAATATTAAGTGAGGAAGTTCTATACCTTTTGCTGAGCCTTCTTCTTTGCTGCCATAGTTCCAGCCTTTTTGGGCTCTGGTTCAGATGTTTCAACTGCTACACTTCTCCTGGCTGGTTTGTTAACATCTGGTTTTAATTTTGGTGGATCAGCATTTTCTGGCTGCAGATTCATTGTTCCAGATAATTTGTCACGAAGATCACGCACACCTGAGATAGCAGCCCTCCCACTTTGAGAAACCTGTTGGAGACTTTTCCTTTGGAGCTTCAGTCGAAGATCTCGAGCATTGACTTTGCGATCTTCACTAACCATTAACACACAGTCAAAAACAAATACAGATAATTTAGTTGCATACAACTATAGCAGCAATATCTTTAGCTGCATGTGATTGTGTAAAGCAATCCATACTTGAAACTTGATGCACATCATCTTGGTAAAGATCATGTTCCCACTTCTCATCCTGCCTCTGCCTGCAAAAGATATGGCATGAAAGATGTTCGCAGATTAGGAAATGAAGGTAAAAAGTGTAAATAAGTCAAATTTGACTTCTTTCTTTGTGAAAGAAAGTGACACAAAACCTAAATCAACTAATACAAGTGCAGCAAACATATTTTGAAAGCTAATGAACCTCTGCCCCCAACCCCTTTCTCAAAGCATCATACTTAATTTTACCGATCTAGCAAAGGAACAAGAAAAATTAACTCCTGAACTAAATGAATTTAAATAATAACCGTGTTTTTATCATTCAATTGATCTTTAACTCCAGTGCTCAAATTCTTCAAAGAAAATTTGAATAAAATAGCGTGGATAAATTCAGCAGCAAAACTGATTCAACATCCAAAAGTTTCAACACAAAGCAAAAAAGTTATCACAGTAAAGCAAATAAATGAAAAGGAAAATTATCATAACCCCAGTTTTCATTCCCAATCATCCCTGAAGAAACAAACAGAAAAAGAAGAGAAAACCCAACCTCTTGCCTGTGGTCTGACGCCAGCGAATAGAGTTATCGAAGGAGTTGCCATTGAGTCTATCCTTCACCGACCTTTTTCCAGCACCCTCCAGTTGATCAGCGTACATCTCTACTTGATATATAGAAGAAGAACCCTAACCCTAACCTTTATAAATCGCGAGAAACGAAAATAATACAGGAAGACGAAGAAAGATGGTTTCCCAAAGTTGAAATTCTAGCTAACAGGGTGAAGACGAAAAGAAAACAAGCCCTTTTGTTTGCACAAGTGAATCAGGTAAATGCATGTTAACTATCACGAGGAATTTCAAGGTTTTTCTTCTTTTGGGCTTTCGAATTTTGAAGAGTGAAAAGTGGAGCAACGCCAAGGCACCGTCATCAGCGACTATGTAGAGATAAAACAGGCCGCTTTGCTCGCAACCCATGAGCCCAAATTCCCTCATTTTTCCAGTTTTTCCATTCAAATTTCACCAATTCATACGATTTTTTCTAATTCGTTTCATTATTGTTTAATATTCTAACATGAAATGCACCAAGATCACGTTCGCTGTCATTACCCATGCTACAAAGTCACTATAAGATAAAGATGAGCAAACGGAAAATGCACATTTTAATTGGATACAAAGACGATGTGAAAAAACCAACCAATTTATTATATTTTGTATGGTACATTTAAATGATTTTTTAATTATATATTTATATGTATTTTTTATGTGTATAAAAAAGATTTGTAATATTATTTAATAAATCAAATTTTATCTAAAATTATAAAATATATCTATAATAGTATTTTTAAAGAATATTTTCAAAGATAAAATATTGATGAGAGTATAAAAAAATCAAGAAATTAATAAAGAGATAATTTAAAAAAAATATAGTTGAAAGACCAAATTGAAAAAAAATACAAAATCAGAGATTAAATTAAAAAAATATTAAATCTATTGCCAAAAATAAAAATTAAAGTTAGATAGACATCTACAGTGACAATAGAACATATTGTTCAAATTTGATATAAAAAATAAACTTAAAACGAAAGAGAAACAAAAGAAATGAGAAAATCATGTAAAATTCAGAGATTAAATTGCGAAAAAAGGAAATTTATTTAAAAAATGAGAAATGGTAACTACACAGGTATTATATAATGATTTACGAGCATGCAATTTAGATTTGATAAAAACAATGTGTTTAAAGTGAATGAAGATTTGAAGGAAAAAGAAAATCAATAATTAAATCACAAAACCGTCACATTCATTTTTTTTTCAATTTTTCTAATTGATAAAATCTGAATTCAACTCGAATTTGAAAAATGACTCACTAATCCAAATTGACCCAAAAATCTCAAAATAAAATGAAAATTGATTTTTCTAATCGAATCAAATTTTGTTTACCCCAACCCAACCCCTACCTATATTGAATACATATTCATATCTGATACTCATCTCGAACCCAAGCAACATGGGTTTATCATACTTTAGCAACATGAGTAACATAATCAAGAACAATAATAGCAAAACATGAAAGACACCAAAATCTTATCAATTTTCTTTATCCAACCCT